ACAGGTTAGAAAAAACATTTATATATTTGAATAATACCCTGAATCTAGCTGGATATTTTTCAACTATCCAACATATACCCTGTAAAGAACTTCATTCTTCAAGTAAGTAAATAAGAGCAAATTGCTCCTTTATAGGTGTTAATATTTAGGTGAGATATGGGCGAGCATGCCACAGTCGGTAAGTAAAATTGTCTAGCATGAAATGTCAGAGTTAAATAATAATATCAAAGTACTTAAGTAGGAAGTGTTTGATGTCAACATGAAACATGGGCAGAGTCTAGTACGCTAGCTAGACACTTCCCTTGATGAATAAAATTGTCCGGCATTAGGCAAGATAACATTTAATAACAAAGTGCTGAATATTGGGCTCATTGGAGTGAAATGGGTAATTCCAAAAACAATCAAACCCTTGCCGGGGTGTCTCTAAAATATATAAAATGTAGCCCAAAGGTTGTTACATATATTATTAAGCAGAACATGTGGTGTATTAACTAAATGTATTTATAAGTTTGAACAAGCAAACTAAGGACTTTAACTGTTTCCAGTTAGGGACACATCTATAATCAAGTTGCCACATATGACAACAACACATCAAATTGATATTTTTATCTATCCTAAACTCACCCACCTATATATGAATAAATATTGGAAACTTATAAAAGTACCAGTTAATTTGAAACCAGTCGATAAATTTTCTCAAACCATGTTTAGCTGGGACATGTCTGGGTAGGCATATGAGAATTGAGTAGATGCCATCATGTCAAGCTATATTATTTTATACAACAAACACTGGAATCTGGCAATCTGTCATATACACTATAGTATACACAAAGATCAAAGTATACTATTTGGCATTACAATAAACATCATTTATAAATATAAAGGCTGAGTCAAATGTAAGCCATTCTATAAACCTAATGTTGTTTTAATTCAAATATTGTCGCAGCAAATTGAAATTTTAAGCCGGAACATGTGCTCAAAATTCACGAATGAAGATAGTAAATATTTCCTTTCAAAATTGCTCTATTTATATATAAAACATAACAAAATTCTTACCTGGATGTTACACAGTCATCCCTGTCCTTTTATCTTTACAATAAGTAACACTTTCGCTCAATAAAAGCTCTGTATTTGAGCCATTTCGAGCGGAAAGTTTAAAACAAAAATTTTTTAAAATATGGCGTTGTGAATTGTGACGCTATCCCAGAAAGCTTTGCGCGCGTTGTAAGAAAATTAGGCACCAGTCTGTCAAACTGCGCTCGTTGTGAGAATTTTTGGTGGTATTCATGGCATGGTGTTTTGTCAAAAATGCTGTTTTGTCAAGAGACAAAATACCTACCTCCACAAAGTCCACAAAGACTATAAATATTTTTGTAAATATAATTTCAATGAACTGATGAAAAATTTAAAATTAACTAACTCAAACTGGGAAATTTTGACCAGTTAAATAAATACATTTACCTTTCTAAATTCTCACAACTTTCTATTTGAATAGGAAATAAATAGCTTTTAAGATCTAATTATTTTGCTATTTCAGTGCCTTTTTTAACTATATATCTGGGGGGGGGGGCAATTGCCCCCCAGGGAAAGAATGCCCCCCCCACCAGTAAAGCCATTTCTGCCCCCGAAGTGCGAAGCAGAATTGCTCATGATTGCTGTCAGAATTGCAGTTGATTTACTTGATAATGAGATTATGCCCTTCCATAGCCTCCTCCACAGCTATCTTGTGTGTAATTCATATTGTTCTTCACCGAGTATTTCATAATAGCGATAGATTTCATGCAAACAATCCAATAAAATGCTGTTTCCAAGGAGAATAGATTTAGTTTGAGAGCGGAAATGCGGAAATGGTGTCTCATAGAACCGAAAATGATTTAAATGCAACATTTCTGATCAAAATCACATAGGGATTCCCCACCCCCCCAGCATCACAGAGAGGAAATAAGGTGACACTGACTCCTCCTCCTAGTCTCCTCAAGGTGACTTTTCCAATTTATTTAATTCCGAGTAGAAATGTCTGGAAAAATTCATGTCTTCGATGTACTTTATAATCTTCTGAACTCTTCGGAATTTCACTCCCAAAATGCTTGAAATCGCAATTCAGGGACCCTAGATTTGAAAATTTCCCCGGACCCTCCTAGACTGTTCGAACCCCCCCCACAAAAAAAAAACCAACAAAAATTAAGGTCTGGCTGCGCCACTGGTTATAGCTGTACGATTATAGCTACAAAGGGTTGAAGTTATTGTCTATATAGGTGAAGTTAATAAATTAAAGTTTTACAAAATCTCTCTTCACTGACTCGCGTGTTCGCCAAACTTCGATGGGTCATATTTTTCGTTCTGCCTTTTTTCCTGTTTTGCCCCCCCTCCCCCTCCCCCTAGTAAAAATTCCTTAAAAAAGGCACTGTGCTATTTATTAGCTATTTTAACAATAGCTCTAAAAATAAAAGTAAACATCATAGTGTAAAAATAGCTATTTAATAGCCATTTTGACCAAACTGTCTATGAATAGGAATTAAATAGCTATTTAAGATCTACTTATTTTGCTATTTAATAACTATTCTAAGAATGGCTCTAAAAATTAAAAAATAAAAGAAACATAGTTTAAAAATAGCTATTTAATAACTATTTGGAACAAAGTTCGCCACAACTTTCTATGAATAGGAATTAAATAGCTATTTAAGATCTATTTATTTTCCTATTTAATAACTATTTTAACAATACTTAATAATATCTCCAAAAATAAAAGCAAACATAGTTTAAAAATAGCTATTTTATAGCTATTTTGAACAAAGTTCGCCACAAATTTCTATGAATAGGAATCAAATAGTTATTTAAGACCTATTTATTTTGCTATTTAATAACTATGTTAAGAATGGCTCCAAAGAAGATATGCAAAAATAGTTTAAAAATAGCTATTTAAACTATTTTAACTGACTCGTTTGTCATCGATAGGAATTAAATACCTATTTAAAAGCTATTTTATAGTGAGATTCCGTCAATTACCCTTTCAAATAGGATTTGAATATCTATTTCAAAGCTATTTTTTTGAAAAATATATATAACCTATATTTTAAATAGGGTGTAAATAGTCATATACTATTTTATGAAATTTGATAAATAGTAATAAAATAGACATATTTTTGAAAAATTACGGAAAAAATAGGGCTAAATAAAGAAAAAATAGGTATAAAATAGGTTATAAATATGTCGGATTCTACAAGGGTGGAGAACGAGTCGTTCAAAGATTTTGGATAGGCTTGGCAGAATGGAAATAGGACGGAGATCGTCATTCGATGATATATTCTGAACTTTTGGAATGGCGCAGATACGAGCGATTTTCCAAGGTGAGGGGAATAGCTGCTTCGATATGCAGTTATTGATAATATGTTTCAGAGGTGAAACAAGCTGCTCGGCTATCATTTTGATGTATTTGACAGGAATACCATCAGGACCACACGAGCAATCTGAGCGCAAATTCTTAATTTCATTCAAAACTTTTGATAACTAACTTCTCGAAGGTGAAATGCATTAGTTGAATCATCTGGTAAGGTATTAATGAAATACCAAAACATACCTAATTTAGCAAAAATATGTTGGGAAATTTGTAATTTTGTAATTAAAGTGATATTTTAAAGGGGATTATTCACTTGTAAAAATATTCTTAAAAAATTATCGTGTTACCAAGATAACTACTTTAAATACGTCATGTTCGAAGAATACAATGGTTTTGTCAGAAGGTGAGGGTTTCTGCAGGCATGTATTTTCTAGTATTGTTCGAATTTGTTCTTAGCTGCCGGAAAATTATCAATTCAAAGTAATATTCCAGATACTGATCTAGCATATAATCTATTGTATTTTCATCTACATTATCTTCATTCCATTCCATGATTTCGTTCCCCCTCCTCCTCCCAATAGTTAAATATGTCTTCAATCTGATCCGTCCTCCTTAGCTCCTCTTCGTTTTTCTCGTAGTAGTCATAATTAATAAAATCAATTTCCACACTTTTTTCGAATTCTATCATCCGAAGTTCATCATTCTGATGTGATTCATCTGTGAAGGAACGAAGGTGTATTTTTTGTTTCGTAACTGAGTATGTTAACACGCTCTTGTGAAACAAATAATAATTCCTTTAGAATTATCTGTAAGTATATTTGTTGCTAATTTTATTTTTAAATCAAAACTATTTTAAGATAAATAATTATGACAGAAGCATCAGCTAACCGCCAAAGTACTCCGCCGGAGTAGCATGCGGAGCGGATCGCCCAGGATAATCTCAAACAGCGACAACACAAAGCAAAAAACTAAAACCAAGACGAAAGACCCCAGACGTGTAGAAGCTGAACGAAGACTCGCAAAAACTAGTCAAGCCTCAAAAGCTGCGAAGCGTCAGAATGTTGCAGAGTTGTTAATCAGACAGCAAGAAACCAGCGCAGTGTGATCTGACGAATATCGTAAAGAAAGTAACATATGACTCAGTACCATTGCTACGGTGATCAGTGTTCGTGCATGTGTTGGAACATTATTATGCGATTTGGATGACTAAAGGAAAAGCAAGTGGTGAAGCAGAAAAAATTTCGGTATTTTAAGATTTTTAACGATAAACTCATAATCCAAAAGTTTCGCTAAAAGATCGTTGTAAACCGCATGAGAATTAAGTTTGCACTTTTCCATAACGATGGCATGAACGGTAGTATTTCAACAATTTTCTTTTCATTACGGTTTCTAATTTTTTTGGTAGTGTCTAAATTAATGTGGATTCCTTTTTTCCATTGTATAATAAGAAAGAAAGAAGTAATGAGCAAACTTTACGACGCAGCCTTAGTCACAGCTGTAGCTGTATGATTGTCTTTCGCAACCAAGAATGTCCCACAAAAAGGTCTAGCCACACGGATGACTTTAAAAGGAACTCTGCAACTTGCTGTGGGAATTGCTGTCAGCATGATGGGGTTGAAATACCTGAAAGACAAATATCTTCCGGATCATGTGAGTAAATACAATGACAACACTAGTTGTCGGAGGAATTTTTAACGCTGTGGCACTTGCTGGAGCAGAATTTCTGATTTCCAAATTGAACAATGCTGGATATAAAAAATATACTAAAAACATCATCAAACTCTCGAAGTACTGGCGAAAGCCCAAGAAAGAGAAGGAGATGAACCTTAGGAACGATGAGCAAAGACGGAGAGAAGAAATTTTGAGCGCAAACAAAGACATCGAGGAATTGAACCGAGACTTGGAAGAGCTAAGAAATTTTACAAAGTTGACGAATGATACAGCACAGCGAGAGATGCCAAAACTTGGCGACTTTTACAAACCGTCTGACGAAATGAAAAATATGCAATGGTAACGATGGGCGTTGTTGGGACTTGGTGCATGGTGACTGGGTAATACACAGAGTCTGGTAGACCACACATAATTTTCCAAATCCCAAGGATTTGAAAAATCCCAGTTCTTCAAACCATGTTAACTTGTTAGAAGAAAACAATTTAGTTTTGTAGTTCTCGTTCGGCTGATTTCGTTTCCAGCAGAGTCAATATACTTTGATTGTACTCCGAGAAGTTTCATGTATAAGTTTCCGGAGTCTCTAGATACCGTAATTAGAAACGTGACAATAGGTATCCAGTTGAGTTTACGGAAAAGCACAATAGGCAATTCTAGCGTTTAATTTATGCGCGCAGGTGGTGACGGAAAGTAAGGTATCACATTGCTGATTAGGCAAAAAAAATAAAAATGGCGGCCGTATAAACACGGAGCAGCTTGTAAGTACTTGTAAATATTGAATTATTTTGGTTGTTTTTTGTTTATAACTAATCAAAATGGCTGGTCAAGGTATGTTTTGGTTGTTGTTGATAGTCTATCCGACTTAATGGATAAAGTAATATGCTCAACGTCAACAAATACTTCATCTGAACCTTTTCGCGACGAAATTATTAAAACACTTTCGGAGAAAAAAGCTCGAGGTTGTGGTACAGCTTGTTGTGTCCTGGTTGTGGCAATAGTACGAGACGTACAGTACGAAATCCATCCTTGTCTTTTCACAGATTCCCTAAAAGCCAAACGTTAAGAAATACATGGATAGATAGGATTGGACGGAGCGAATTCACGCCAAACGACCATCGTGTGTGTTCGGAACATTTCCCTAGTGGTGAAAAGACCTATTTAAACAACATACCAACCCATGCAGATCAAACGCCTAACCTGCTTCATCAAAGAACAGTTCTCGCAGAACTAAGTAAGAACGCAAACCAAATTAACATTACAATTGAAGTAGATAAAGTCAACGAAGTACAATCAATACCGCAGCAAAAAAATATCGAGCTATAAGTTGAGGAGAATATTCAGGATAGAGTACAACGTCTAGAATACGAGTTGGCCAACTTGAAAGAAAAGTATGAAAGGGACAACATTTCACTTGAAGATGATCTTAAACGCAAATCATCCTCAATTGACCGTTTTAAAAGCTCTGATACTCACTTTTTTGACAAAATTATGACAGATTTAAAGTTTTTTATAATTAACTTAGCCCTGCATGTACGAAACTATCATATACAGGATCCCATAATGGCAAGATTGAATCTGCAGAGCAGAAAAACGTGGCCGCAAACGATTCCTCAGCCCCGAGGAAGAATTGTTTCTTGTTCTTACCAAGTTAAGATGTGGTTTGCTTGAGAGAGACATTGCTGCAAGATACAACATTTCTGTGTCGCAAGTCAGTAATATATGGATAACTTGGCTGGATTTACTATATCAAAAATTACGATCGATTCCTATTTGGCCTTCCAGAAAACATGTTGATGCTACAATGCCAGGAAGTTTGAAGGAAAATTTTCCACAGACAAGGGTAGTCATTGACTGCACAGAGATTTTTATTGAGATGCCATCTGCACCAGTTACTCAAGGAGTCACATTCTCTTCATATAAGCACCACATTCTCCTCATATAAACACGACAATACTGCTAAAGGACTTGTCGGCATTTCACCTGCAGGAACTCTCACGTTTGTATCAGAACTTTATGCTGGGAGGACTTTAGATAAAGAGCTAACAAAGGATTGTGGGATTCTTAAATTGCTAGAGGAAGGAGATCAGATTATGGCAGATAAAACTTTTCTTATTGAGGATTGTCTGCCAGATGGAGTCACATTAAACATCCCCCCTTTTTTGAAAGATCAGAATCAGCTATCCATTGAAGATGAGGTGAAGACAAGAAGAATTGCTAAAGAAAGGATACATGTGGAGAGAGCAATAGAGAAGATAAAAAATTTCAGAATTTTACAGCAGGTAATACCTCCAGGTATGGCAGTAGATATCAACAAGATATGGATTGTTTGTAGCTATCTTACCATATTTTTTAAACCTCATGTTGTGTCAGCTCAATCTCATTGAGTGTATGTTGAATTTACTCATTAGTTACATTTTCTGAGTAAATATTTTAACCCATTAGGTCCAATGCAACTTATTTGGTCATAAAACAATAGCTGCCAATTCTTGGGTTTCATATGACATCGCAAAAGTGATGAGAGTTCAACTCGAAAACAAAACACAGTTATCAGAGTGAGTCGATTGTTTGTTTTATGTATTAGCCTTATGTTTGGTGGCAAATATGTGGAATTCGTATCATTGAGGCTGACCACCAGTCAAATGCACAGCATCATGGCGTAGTGAAACCCAAGAATAGAAGCTTTAGGTAGATTTTGTGTGTGCATGAAAAGAGAAATAAAATTATCGAGCGAGTGTCTACTAATTCCCTTATTCCCCCATGAAAAGAGAAATAAAATTATCGAGCGAGTGTCTACTAATTCCTTTATTCCCCCATGAAAAGAGAAATAAAATTATCGCGCGAGTGGCTACTAATTCCCCATGAAGAGAAACACTAAGAATTTCATTTGTCTTTCAGGCGCACACAAAATCTTCCTATATTCTATTAGTCTCGGCCTATGCTGGACCATGAATCTTGTAATAAAATTCGAGTGTTTTGAATAGCTTAAAATACGACCACAGAAGAATACTAATTAGGATGAACAATTATATAATCATCCTAATTAGGATAAACAATTATATAAAGAATAATAATGAAGATGAGCTTTATCAGATATAAAGTCACTCCACGTGACATGTTATGGCTTACATGATTTGCCACAACATTTATGAATTTTTAATGAGTATTTTAAATATATTTACACTATCAATAATTTCCAGATGATCTTGATACGCGGAAAAGTACTGGCACTAGTTGTCAAATAGAAATCCATTTTATGATTAAAACAACTGAATATCTCCAGTAATATACTTTATTTCGATTCCATATTTTTGTCAGAGCTATAGCTCTCATAACCAAACATAATTACAAAATTTCAACTAGTTTCATAAAGAATAACGAAAGATAGAATTGACTGAATACATCAAAATGGATTTCTATTCGGACAACCCTTTCCGAGCGCTGATTGGCTAAAATACGAGATCACCTGGTTATTGAACAAATTTACTATCTATTAACAATATTCACTCAATTAATTTATTTAATAAGCTTTTGCAATAGATTAATTTTTATATAAATATTAAATATAACATAAATTATAATTTATTTTATTTAATATCAGTAAGATTTGATTTATATAACGTTTTGAAAATAGAAACGGTAAGCTTTGGTAGCATGTTGCTTTCCCAGTTTGCTTGATGAAATTAAACACGTTCTGTGTGAAGATGTTTGACCGTATATACAAAAAAGCTATCCAGCTTAATTGGCAAATTGCCATAATTCCTTGTACTTGAAAGGAATAATCATGTTTCCTTTTTAACACAGTTTTACCTTCTAAATAGTGAAGATAAAACTTTCCATCTTCACATGCTTCACTTACAGTCATCAATTTTTGACGAAGGACATTTGATCTCTACTGCATGCACCATACGGAGATAATTCCTGGGAGCTGCAAGCCAGTGCGTCTGGGCTAGCACCTAGCCATGGTCATTTAGGATTAATTACCAGGCCAACAGATCCACAAACTTGTATGGGAATATTTATAGATTCCTGTAGCTCATAATATTTTAAATGTGCATTTGATTTTTTTTCACGGCCCCATTTGCAGCTTTTTGAAAATGCTTCTCTACCAGAGGAATTCTGTACTTTTTCAACAATTGTTTTGGGGTATATTGACTCCCTTTTGTTCATTACTGATCCAAAGTTTGATGATGTCAATCGCTGCTTTCGCTCAAAATATCACTCTGGACAATCTGCTTGATCTCTAGTGTTTTTCTCAATATTTTGGCTTTTTTTCAAATCAACAGTAAGTTTTTTCATTTCTTGTTGTGCAAGTTCATGCAGTCTGAGAAAGAATATTAAAGTATAGAGTTTCAGCAAGACCATTAAGAACAACTCTGACGTTTTCTGAATTTACACCACTGATCACTTTTCTTTTAGATTCAATTCTTAATTTTGATGGTAAGTTGTTATGCCAAAGTTCATAATCGAATGGATTGCAGTCATTATCATCAAGCACACCAACAAGGGGAGAGTTTATATCATTTTCAGTAACACCATTACGCAGTCTTTTTACATCTTCATTTAAAACCTTTTCAGCAAAGCTAGGCGCTGCTTTATATCCTTCCGGGTTGCCTTTGACAAGAGGTCGTTTTCTGCCTTTCCTGTATTTTTCAAAGCTTAAAAAGTAAATTCTCTAAAACAGCAGCACCTTTCATTTCGTTCCCAGTTGCAGGTACTTTCCACTTTTGCAGTTTCTCGGTACAAGATATATCATCAGGCACTTCAGACAGCTCAAGTTCTTTAAATTCCAATATTTGAAACAGAATTGCTGCAACATGTTTACAAACACCTTCCTTTCTCGCTGGACATTGACACTTCGCATAACAAACATTTCCGGAACCCTGCAAGATATGTACACAAACCATGTACTCAATCTTCTTCATTTGAGCGTTCACCCTAGCACGAACGAGAAGACATGTTCTATCGCCCATCTTTATATCTAGTTTTACCACAATTCGACTTACATATCCTGACTTGAACAGCTGATATTCAAGCTTTTTGTGCCGTGTTGCTCCTTCAGGCTGCTTGTCAACCACGCTCGATTTAAGTCGAGGTGTTTTTCCAAAATTGCATGGGTAAATTTCGGAAAACCAGTTAAGTTTTTAGTCCAAATTACTTGAGATTCCTTCGTTGAGTTTGTATAACATTCATTAAACAACCGAAATAATCCAATATCTACAAGTATTTACAAGCTTCCGCCATTTTTATTTTTTCTGTTTAATCAGCAATGTGATACCCTACTTCCCGTCACTCCCTGCACGCATAAATTAAAAGCTGAAATATACTATTGAAGGCACTTCGGTTGACTGCTCAAGTATTAGTCTTGCAGCACGTTGCTGTAATTTCAGTAAGAACGTATTATTTCGTTATTAGCATTGCCCCAAGGTGTGCTACAATATAGCAACTGTGGATAGATTAGTATACGTAATATAGTTGAATACGGGATTGAAAAGTAAGATAGCCACGTATACGTTTTAGCAGATAAAGTCAGGAGTTAATTATATTGTAGATGGTATTAACTTGCTTATCCCATTTCAAATGTTGGTCCAATGTAACTCCAATTAAAATGGCGGATATAATCTCCTTAGTATTATTGTTATTAACCTCAATGGTTATTGGACTATGGGTAAGGAATTTAGGTTGGGAATATATTTTCATTATTTAAGTTTTATTAGAAATAAGGGAGATATTGTTGTGGTTAGTCCAACAAGACACTGAGGTCATCTCTGACTTTAGAGAGACACTAAGTTTGTGAAGGTAATAGAGCTTAATATATAAATTTAAGAGTTCTTTTGAATGAGATAAACAAGTTTTTTATTGCCAATGTCTTTTAGTTGATTACTTCACCAAGCAAACAATTTAGATAGACAAAACTTCGGCAAATACCGGGTCTCTTCAAAAACTCTTAAAACTGAGCGAAAGAATAAATGAATAGAAAATTTATGAGAAAAGAAGGAAAATAAAAAAAATGCCGAGATAGTCATCTTGGTTTGTCGTGTCACCAACGCTGCTATTGGGAAATTGTAACATAGAAGCATTGTGGGGAAGCTGCTGGTTAATTGTCTTGGCCCAATTCAGGCTTCCTATAGCTGTATTACAGGTTTTGTCTGTCCTCCTCGACTATCCAGCTGTAGTATAAGCGAAGGTAATTCTCAAACATGCACAAGCCTTACTCTCATCTGACAAAAGCTGTCCTTTATATGATTACAGCTATTGTAGGAGTGGGATTGCTCGTCTATAGGGAATAATAATAATATACTTTATCGTATTTGTGGGGTTGAAGTGCTCCCAATGGTCACTTTCATGCCAATAGACTTATTCAATGTAAATATAATCAGACGAGTTATAGCAACTATCCAAGGGACCTTACCTCTAGCTTGGTTCAGTTTAATAAGGTCAGAGGGGAATCGCAACCTTTCTGGCATGTGCTACGGTACCCTTACCCCCAGGGCAACCCTAGGGACCATTACTCCTAGGGTTATCAGAGCGGACCTTATATAGACCCCGCAGGATAAAATATAAGGCCATAAAGAGTCTATTGGGTTAAATATACTTACAATATGACACTTATTGTACCCATACACTGATTATTATAATTAATTAATTCTCCAAACATTTGGTTTTTCAGATTAATATACATGTAAATTATATCTAAGTTATTCTATTGCATATTTACAGTTTCAAATCGTTAAAATTAGATAAGTTCATTAAGATTTTAAAAGAAAGAGTTCAAGCAGATAGTTATAAACATTACTTTAAAGTCTTTACAATTGTCATATACAGTAATGTTACTAGGTAGAGAGTTCCACAGGGATACTGCTCGGTATTCAAATGTTCGTTGTCCGGCCGCCGATCTATAAGCTGGAATGATTAGTTTTTGTTTATTTCTGGTGCTTCTATCGTGTAAAGATAATCTCTCCTGAAAATATGAATTGAGATGGTCAGGGGCTAGTCCATTCAAACATTTGAACGTTAGAACGCCAACAAAGTATTTTAACATGTCTGGAACAGGTAGCCAATTCAGTTGTTTGAGTATTGGAGTAATATGCTCATATTTTTGTGTTCCTGTGATTATTCTCGCCGCGAAGTTTTGCACTTTTTGTAATTTTTCTATGTTCTTCTTAGTCGTACTGGACCATACGTTTGAGCAATAATACAATTTGGAAAATACTAGGGACGAGATGACATTTTCCAAAATCTTAGGGTCAAAAAGATGTTTAACCCTGTTTATCTGACATAAGCTCGAATACAAGTAGAAACAGTGTTTGCTATATGTTCGTTAAAATTTAGTGTTGAATCAAGTTGAATCCCAAGATCGCGTGTTAAAATAATGGGAGTAATCCTTTTCTCAAGTAATGTCACATAAAAGTCATCCGGTAATCGTTGCAACATTTTGTGTGTTCCTAGTACTAACACTTTGGTCTTGTCTGGATTAATTAGTAGACTATTGTGTCAGCACCATGCTGTGATTTTTGACAGGTCTTCATTAATATTCCGCATAACTTCATTAACATACTTGATGGGAAACGTAAGATACAATTTTGAATCATCTACATACGATTCTAAGTCACCGAAATTCGGGATGGTGGGCAAATCATTCAAATATATATTGAACAAAGCATGTCCTATTATCGGACCTTGCGGTACAACGTGAGTGATATGACCTGGTTCTGACACAACTGAGCCAATTTTCACCTGTTGCGTCCTTCCGGTCAAGTAACTTTTGAACAATTCTAAGGCGCCAAGGCTTAGGCCTAATGCTTTTAGCTTTGTTAAGAGTTTGCGGTGATCTATACTGTCAAATGATTTTGACAAATCCAGCAATACTATGACTGTGAGTTATTTTGAGTCCATTGCTTTAAACACCTTGTCTGTCATAAACACGCCAAGAGTCTCACATGAATGTAGTTGTTTATTACCACTTTGATGTTTACTTAGGCATTTCTTTTTGTTCGTATAAGAGGTCAGTTGATTTAAAGCTACTCGTTCACAAATTTTAGAAGTCGCTGGTAGTAACGATAGTGGTCGATTGTTATTTGCCACTTCGTGATCTCCCTCTTTGAGAAGTGGTATTACTTCTGATATTTTCCAGGCTGATGGAAAGACTGAAGTCAGTAACGAGCGATTTATCATGTCAGTAATAACTGGGAGAATACATGGAAGTGCATCCTTTATCGTAGACATTCGTACTTTGTCATGGCCAGGAGCTTTGTTCGATTGGAATGCCATAACTGTCCTTCGTACTTCTCCACATGAGACAGAAACAAAACTAAAATTTTGTGACTCAGGGACAGCCAGCGAAACACTTGTTGGAGGTGCAAGCAGGTTATACAATTCTATAAAAGATGTGCAATCTTCTGATACTCTCCTACCAACTGAGGTCAAAAACTGATTAATTAAACTCATTAGCAACTTCTTTCATATCCTTTGTGTAGACTTGTTGAGTGCTTTCTTTACGAGGAATACAATTATTAATTATATATCTTCCACTTTGATTAGTGTTGTGACTGTGCTCTAGTTCTTTCCGTATATATTCCCTTTCGGCATCTCTCAGCTTGGATTTTACTTCTTTTCTTAGTGTACGATACATTTCCCAGTCTGTTGTTAATTTAGTACTTCGAGCCTTTTTCAATAGGTTATTTCTGTATTGCATAAGTTCGCGAATTTTTTGTGCTAATAAAGGGGCAGCTGCGGTGTTTAATCCTCACAGTTTTCACAGGTGCATGTGTTTCCATTACATGGAAAAACCTCTCATTGAAATGATCTAGCATTACATTTGCATCATCCATGATGAAAATATCATACCAAGGTATTCGTTGTAAATCCACGAGAAAACTATCAGGTTTGTAGTTTTTGTAGGATCTCACACATTTATAACTAGGTGGCGGCTTCAACATCTTAAGTTTCAAAAAAGCATATATTAGATAGTGATCACTAATGTGAGATAAAGCCAACCCATGATTTTCTACTAAACTGACATTCGACGTCATAATAATATCAATAAGGGAAGATGACGTTTCTGTTACTCGTGTAGGTTCTTTTATCAATTGAGTTTGATTCGCACTTGTACAAAAATCTAGTAGCGACATAGCCTCTGGAGAATCCGGTTTCAGCAAATCACAATTTAAATCACCTACAACAATTATCTCTTTTCCTAATGTGAGAGCATGTATATAATTTTCCATGAAAATATCATGAAAGGATAAGGTAGGACAATAATCAGGCCTATATGTCACACAAAGGAGAATTGATCTTAGTTTCCTGAGTTGTATTAGCATCCATAGCTGATGAAATCCGAATTCAGATATCCCTGTTGTGTTTTTGAGACATTTGACTTTAATCGACAATTTAGAATAGACACAAACACCCCTTCCAGTCTTTCCCAAACGGTCCAATCTTGTTAGTTTAAAGCCCTCGATTTCTACTTCCGCGTTTGTCACCGTGGAGTTTAACCATGACTCTGACAAGGCTAAAATATCATAGTTCCTATCCTTCATAAGTTCTCGAACCTGTATAAGATGATTCCTATTCTTAATTGAGCGAACATTTAGGTGGGCAATTCTAAGTTTAGATCTTTGCATATCCGAAAGCGGTTTTGGAACATGTTCTTTTGTTATTGCAGTTAGGGTCTTTTCCCTAGAGTTTACAATTTGAATATTTACTAGGTTCGAAAAATTTGGTCCATTTTGAGTCATATTCTGTGTAGGGTAGCGCGAGGTAATTCTGACTGGTATTCTCATTGTCTCATCATGCGGTACACCACATCCAGATGGATCAACCATTCTGGTGAGTGATGACGATGAGATGTTCGATATGATGGTGGTTTGATGTTCTGACGTTTTAAAAAAGGGCGTCGACCAGGGGAATTATGTATGTTATTATGCCTTGGTGAAGTTGAAGGCTTTGAATTTGTCTGACAACCTTTATAATACTCGGTGTCGCGGTTTTTAAAAACGCTACTACTTCTACGTTTAGTGTTGCAGAACGAAGTTTGGTTGGCCTGGTTTAGAGTTTCAATCAACGGTAAGCGACCTAACCATTCGATATTGTTCCGTTGTGGAGGTGCTAAGACGAAAGATTTTCCAACATTTGGTTCTATATTGCTGTTATCATTGGTCGCTTGAGTGATTGGGGTAGCTGCTGGTTCTTTGGTAACAGAAATTGAGAGCTGTACTGCTTCAATTGATTCCTTTGAGTGATTATTCATTTCGGACACTGGAGGGTCAAGGTCAGAGTCCACGGTTGGTTGATTAACGTTTTCATGACTGTTATTAGTTTCAAGTGAACAGCCACTAGAAGTAATACAGACATCAGCATTTACAGTTGGGAAAGCATTTTCTTTAACCATTAGACTTTCCAGATCCAAACTACAGTTTGCATTTGATGAATTCGTTGACAGCAATTTCACTTCTAACACTGAGATACACGATTTTAAATGCAAATTTTCACAGTTTAATTTGCATAGTTCTTGTTTATTTGACTTAATGATGTTATTCTGCTCAGAGAGTTTATAAGATAAATTTTGCAGCTGTGCCTCAACATTTTCCTTAAACGTGATAAATTGTGATTTAAGTTTGGCTAGAATTCCATCAGTGTGTCGGTTAGATGGAGTAGACATGTCCGTCGGTTTGGCAAAATCAGGCAGCCCAAAAAGCACTACAAAATGACCTGTCAATAAAGCCCTCAAGTTCCTTTATAGTAGAAGCATCAGAACAAACAAGCGTTAATATATCATCGATTTTGGATATATTAAATAGAGCATCTGTCTGAGATATATTACTTAAGTCATCGATATTAGACAAGTTGGTTAAATTCTCTGCGTTAGGTGTAATAGTTCTTTCAACGGACGCAGTAACAGCGCAAGCCACTTCATAGCAATCACCTAGCTTAGGCGACGATTGAGGTTCTGAGTATTTTAACGTAGAGTTCGCTTCACAAAATTTTATTAAAACGTCTTTCAGCAAATACCCTTCCTTTCTCTGGAATAGGAGTGTTCTTTGTTTACCATAATACCAAGTAATTGTTATGTTAGATTTGCAGTTTGATAACTTCTTAGAGTTCCCTCCCGGCGGTGTCCATTTACCGTTCAGGCCAACAACTGTCTCGAAGAAATATTTTAGATCTTCGAAGTTTTTATTCCATTTTAAACGCTTGCCATCATAGGTTAAGTCTAGCTCATCTTTATGAGCAAGGAAAGCGTCTGGATTCAAACTTTTTATACGAAAATCTGAACATTCTGCGGAGCAAAGACAAGCACGACCACACGCAATTTTGTTTCTACTTCTAATAATAACTGATCTAATTGTAACAGGAGTACTTCACCCCCATAACACATTCTCCCACACGTAAGCTGTCTGTGTCTACTCTTATTTCTTAGTTGGCTAGAGAGCAATTGTTCCATTAAACCAATCAGATTCGTCAAATACATTGACTAAAACGATACTAACCAGAAAATCATTTACTCTTCGCTCTGTATTTTCGTAATAAATGTCAAGATGCTATTATCAACTCGACATTACACAATATGATAATTCATTCAATAACATTCCGCTGAAAATGACGGATATTCACTCATTGTGTGAGTTTCAGAGCTAATTGATTGTTGAGGTTTTTTCCCCATTTAAGTCATGGATCTATCTAGTGGTTTCGGACCATGCCTGACAAATTTAAATACCGATCTTGTGGCGTTATCGCCATGTAATAAACAAATTTAGACAAGACACGCGGCGTGGATGTTGTCTGCTTCTGGTTTGCAACGTCGTTTTGGACGATTTCACGTCGTGAAACTACAATTTTCACGTCCTCTCAGGAACGTCACAGGTTTATGCTTCTTTTGAAAAAAATATGGGAGTATGCATCATAAATATCATTCTATTTTGTTCCCCATGTATTGTTTAATGATTCTAGTTAAATATTTTTTTATTGACAAGATTGTGTTTCTTGTATTTCGCTAAATTTTGGATGTGTTGATTTTTGACAAAGACTTTCGTCACCATAGGAAATCATCAAAACTGCAAGAATTGTTAATAACCATTTCAATACCGATAGTATTCTTCACCAAAACAAAAATTTTAGGACAAACTGAACTCAAGTTATAATAATATAAGGTCGAAACGAAAATCACGAAAACTTGCGAAGGTAGAAGAAAAAAAAGCACTTAAAACAATAATAACTCGATCAATTTTAGTTGCTCTGTCACAACAGCGCAAAAAGTAGGAAAAATCAAAAAACGCTTTCCAGCGTGAAAAACTGTCGTAAGCAGTATTAAATTGTACCAATATAAAAACTGATTCAATATTTCTGCAATATAGGCTACAAACTAAAGCATTTAAATCGTAAAAAATACCTGCAGCTTTTGAATTTATTCCAAATGATGCAACAAAGTTCACTTTTCAATGTTTGAAATGTCTATTTCAATTAAACAATTTCATTCCCTAAATAATAATTTCTACTTTGTATTATTTTAGAAAAATAATATGCTGTGCGATATAATGAACAAAGCCGACAAAAGTAAATGCACTGCCTTACATTACGCTGCGGTGGCCGGTGAAGGAGAGGTATGTGCGTTTGTTAATACTGAATATTTTCTGTTTTATATAAAATATACATTCGCATTTCGCAACCAAAGGCGAAGTTTGAAAAATGCTATATCCCCTATTTTTAAGAACATTGGACCATCCATGATCACCGGGTCATGATCTATAGTGGGATCGAACGTCCGGGTAGGGTCGTATATCCGTGTATGGCAATATTCTCCGGTATAGTCACTTTCTCCTGGGGTATCGTCATGTCGCATATATTCAGCATGCACTAATTCTGCTATTTAAAAACTCTTTATCGTTAGTAGTTGTCTTAATTAAATAATTTTTTATCAACACGATATTTACGTAATTAAATAATTTTTTATCAACACGATATATAAATTTTTGTGTTTGTTGGTGTTACTTACTCAGGTGAATACGATTCCTTTTACGATTCTTTGTCTGTGTGTGTGTGTGTGTGTGTGTGTGTGTGTGTGTGTGTGTGTCTGTCTGTCTGTCTGTCTGTCTGTCTGTCTGTCTGTCTGTCTGTCTGTCTGTCTGTCTCTCTGTCTGTCTGTCTGTCTGTCTGTTTGAGACATTTGTTTTCACGGTCTGTTTACAACGGGAAACTACAGATTTTTACGTCTTGGATAAAACTCCTGCATTTCAAGACGTGAGAAGTGATACTCAGCAAATTAGCTCAGTAGCAACAGTAGAACATTCTCAACAATAAATCCACTATTTCAAGCTAAACAAACCGTATAATAATGATATCAATAATGGTATCAATAATGGGTGGTGTGAAAAATAATAATGGTATCGATAATGGGTGTTAAATATAGTGGTATCAATAATGGGCGTTGTGAAAACCCAGAATGCCGGGATATCACGGAATATGCAGGAATATCATAGGCTTTTCCGGAATATTATTACACTGGTAATATACCTTAGTCATAATGACGTCACAAGGCTTGATCCCGCGAGGCATGCTGGTCTTAGTAGTCATCGCCCGGGAAAATTTCGATAGTGGCCATTTTGAATTGTTTAATTTTCCCGGACGATGACTACTAAGACCAGCATTCCTCGAATGCATCAAGCCTTGTGACGTCATTATGCATATATATTCTCCATAAAAGATGAGCATTCTAACAAGTAACCTGTAACGACAGCGGTGGAAACAATTTTTTCGGAGAAATGGAAATACTACCATTCCAATTCCTGCTGTATACTCAAGCGTCATTTCTACTTCAACAAACCAATGCTTGGTTTCTCTCAAACTTCCCAGCTTAAAGATGTCAATATATTGTGCAGATGTTTCAACTCTCCCACTGAGAGCATTTAAAATTATCTAATGACAAATCGGCTTATTAACATTTAAAGTTAATTAATTGATATTGTTTTAATGTTAATTAAACTTAGTTGATATTCCAAAATTTGTTTTCTTATAAATAATGTTCATGCTGTGCCCATAGCCAGGGGACAAATTTCCAACTCATCCTCGGTAAACATTGAGTTAATATATTGCTCATAGAAATGGGTTATATGTAAAAGTTTGAAACTGAAGACGTTGTTGTTCAATTCCTTTCTTGAATTATTTTAAAATTCGATTGCACCTTATTCGTACTTAATTTCGCGCGACTTTAATTTTTCGATTTTTTGGAGGCAATATTTCTCGAGACTTTATTTTCACAATTTTGGTGGCCTATCAAGAAGTTTATGATTCCAATTTTTGACTACGATATTTCATTTCGCGCATGTTTTTTATTCGCGTGACTTGAAATTCGCGAAATTATGTACCAATAAGGTATTGTACTTAATAACAAGTTGATATTTAAGGCATTTAACGTTTTCTTCGTTAAAATATATAGTAATAAACAGCATTCCAACATCTAGATAGATAGATCAACTTTATTTAATTTAAGCACACTATTCCCATTCAACACTAAGCTGATTTCCATGAGAGGTGTGCTGGCTAATTGTTACAATTTAAAAACTAATTTACTAAAACGTACAGACTATTATTATATATATCTATTAAATATTCACTTAAATAGACTACTTAAGTTAATAAGGCCGAGGGCGAGGAGAAAAGTTTTTACAAAACGAGTTGTAATATATCGAATTTCGAATATTTTCTGGTATTCTATTCCATAATTTAGCTCCACTGTAACTGAAACTTTTTAAAAAAATTCTGTCCTGGGCCTTGGAATAAAAAGCCCAGTTGAAGAACGTCTTAAATTATAACTATTTACAGTGTTGGAAGATTGGAAAATGTTACACAGTCTTTGTGAAGCGAATTGATTTACTGTTTTGTACATAAGTTTGGCATTCATTAATGCTCTACGTTCTTCAAGGGATGTCCAACCAAGAGCAGTACGAGCTAAGATAGACTGTCCATGCTCATTTTTAAAATTCATAATTACTCTAGCCGCTCGATTTTAATTGCAATTTTTGAAGACGCTCGCCGAGGCATTCGCCAAGCTCATCCCAAACCGCACAACAGTAATCATAATGCGGCCGGATCAATGCATTATACACCAGCACTAATGTATCTCGGTCTACAAATTCTTTAATAATTTTTTTTCGCACCAATCACCGAAGATACTTTACTAGCGATATATTCAATATGTTTTTCCCAGTTTAGGTTCTCATCGATTTCAACTCATAGCACTTTTGCGCTTTTTACTCTTTTGATTGGACATGTGTCGATCTTAATTGCGGGTTGGACATCCATGCTATTAATATTAGAACGTGATCCAATCAAAATATATTCCGTTTTCGCAATATTTAACCTAAGTTTGTTTGAAGACAACCACACTTTCATATTTTTCAAATCCTTATTCGCTATTTCTTTTGCTTCATTTAATGTTTTGCCCACAGCTGTAAGGCTGGTATCGTCTGCAAATATCCTTGGTGTTGTATGTTTGAGACAATTTGGCAGATCATTTATCCCCGAGCCGGCGGCGCGAAGCGCCGTGCGAGGGTACTAATTCCCCCCGGCTATTTACACCCGGAGAAACGAAAGCATTAGGGAAGTCTGAAGTTCATCAATGAGCGCGGGCGTCGGTCACCAACGATGGGTGGTCATCCTCACTGATCTCAAAAAAATGGCGGACTGTCATTAAAAGCGGACACTGATTGGTCCAATTTAAAGTTTGCATTATAACGGCTGCATGACGACAGCGAAATAGCAAACATTTGACATTTCTTGATTTGATGAGTTGATGATTGACAAATTTCTTGCAAATATTCTTCATTTTTGCTCGTATTTCTGCAAAATTTTGTAAATTTCAAGAAAGAAAGGGCGAAAGAATCAGCTAAAAGAAGGGAGCCGACGTTAACAAAGGTAAGTTTGTTTTAAATATTGATTTTATAATGGCTTTAAAACCCGACGGCCTTTGCGTATATGAAACAACTAGACAAGACAGCATATAATTTCAGTGTATCTTTAATATTGATTCCCTTTTTTATTATATTGAATTTTTTAAATAAAAATAAAGCAAAGTTATTTGCAAGCGAGAATTTGAAATCATTTTATTGCAAAACTCAAAGTTTATCGATAAAGCCATTTAATAGTTAAAGGCAGTTTAGTTTTATAAAGAACACTTTAAAACGTTTTGTGAATTGTTTGTGGTTGAATTTTACCTTAAATTGAAGCTTGTATTACATATAATTACATACCTAACATAAATATGTTGGGAAATTGATAATTTTGTAATTAAAAGTGATATTTTTAGGCGATTTTTCATTTGTATTAAGAATATTCTTAAAAAATTATCGTGTTACCATGACAACTACTTTAGATACTTCATGTTCGTAAAATACAACGGTTTTGTCAGCAATGCGAGGGCACAGATTAAGAGGACTCTTAATCTGTGGCGAGGGTTTCTGCATGCATGTATTTTCTAGTATAGATAATAAACAGAAGAGGGCCAAGTATACTTCCCCGAGGGATGCCGCAAGTTATTCTTTACTGATCTGAAAGCATTCCATTTAGCTGACATCTTTGTGTTCGATTTGTTAAGTAATTACTTAGTAAATCTAGGGCTTTATTACCAAAGCCATACCGTTCGAACTTACGTAAAAGAATTTCATGGTTGACAGTATCGAATGCTTTCTTTAAGTCGAGAAGAACAACTATGTTGTACAGGCCACGGTCCATGTTAATATACCATTCATTAGTACAATCTAAAAGTGTGGTAGTTGTGGAATGAAATTGTCTAAAACCAAACTGATGTTCTGAAAGAATATTCTATTTCTTTAAATAATCATACATGTCGTACAGAATCCTTTCCATCAGTTTGCTGACCACAGGTAAAATCGAGATTGGTCTATAGTTGTCTAACATAGTCCGTTGGCCTTTTTTAAAAATTAGAGTTACTCGTGCTACTTTCCACTCCATCGGGAATCTGTCAGTGGCAATAAACGTATTAAAAATCCTTGTTAAAGGCTCTGCAATAGCAGGAGCTTCAGCCTTTAGTACTTTAAATTAGCTGAAATTTCGTCAATACCTGTAGCTTTGGAGATAGTTAATTTGGTTATAAGCCTGTAAACGGTTGCAACATTTACAGGTTGGAAAATAAATCTCTCAACTGCATGGTTCATGTTGAGGAATGAAATCTCGAAACCTACAGTTGTGTTCGTATTCAATTTTTTCAGCAAGTTTAGGACCAACATCGTTAAGATAATCGTTAAAAACATTGACCAGTTCACTAGTTGATGTAACTGTTTTCTCTAGTAAATTAATTTCATTAACAATATTTTGCTTCTGACTTCATCCTAGTATCTCATTAACTGTTTTCCACGCATGTTTTGAGTTCGTTTTGTTATTGAGGAATTTTGTTGCATAGTATTCCTTTTTAGCATTTCGCAAGGCAATATTTGCAGCATTTCGAGATGACCTGTACAGCTTCCGATCATTTTCATTATTGTTTTTTATTGCTACGCGCTTAAAGTGGTCTCTCTGGAACAACTTATTTTTAACAGTTTTATTGAACCAGGGAACATTACCCTTTTTCCTTAATCTTTTTTCTTCTTTTCCTTAATCTTCGCTGCGTGTTTGTCAAGCACTTGAAGAAATAAGGATTAAGGTTTTCCAGCATTCCCACATTTCATCCACGTTTTGTTTCCAGTCAAGCTCTACCCACGGAAGCACATACAAGTCACTAAGAAAGCTTTCAACATTAAATTTCCTAAAGTTTCTAAATTCAACCGGATTTTGAGAATCTCCTTTAATGACAGAATTTAGTTTACGTGTTGCATAGATTAAACTATGATCACTTATACCAAGATGCACCACGCCTGATTGAATAATTTTATCCGGACAGGATTGAAGATTTATTAATGCAAACATCAAGTATTGATTTTGTAGATTTAGTAACACGTGTAGGATCATCAATTATTTGTGTTAATTGGTACAGTTGCATTATTTCCTGAAGCATTTTAACATTCGACAAATTTGAATCGAGTAGATTACAGTTCAGATCACCTAACATGTAAACTTCTTTGTTTTCATTATCCACTAGTTGAATTAGCCTTTCAATTTTTGAAAAGGTCTCAACAGTTGTATTTGGTGGTCTATAAACACTCGAAAAAATGAAAGACTTACTATTGGCTTGTTTAATTTCCAAACAAACGGCTTCTAGATCGTTTGGAATTAAATCTGGACGATTTTCATAGTTTACATGACATCTAACGTATATACATACTCCCCCTCCATTTCGTTTTCGATCAGAGCGCAGTATATCGTAACCCTCGATACTCATAAGGTCGTCCGAAATAGAGGAGTCAATGCGAGTTTCAGTGGGTATTGTTCTAAAACTTCCGAAAGAAAGGTAGTATAGTAAAATGCTTGTATTGATCCCTGCCTAGATGTTATAGACCCATTTCAGTTGACATTAAAATCAGCTTATGCATCTGGAGGAAAACTTGAAACGAATTATTTCCAGTTTCATTCATTACTATATTCTTTTATGATCATTGCACGTTACATGCGTTTATAATTAACGTTCTTATATTTAAATAGTTTGTTAAGCAAGATGCATGCAGTGTCTTCACCGAAACGTAGCCACTGTATTTTTAATCATTTTTGAAAGCAACTATTAACGTACACCAGATTCATATTTCACAATCTTTAAAGTCTTTTGGAGCATAATTTGGAGAGTGTTACAGCACAGTACTAATTTTAGCTCCATGCAAACACGTATGTGGAAGAGATAAAAATAATCTATGGAGAAAAGCCAAGCGCGACACAATAAAATGTTAAAATAAAGTGAAAGGAATTATGCTCAGGATGACGACATGTGCATGGTGGTGCTATATAAGAGGATAGATCAATGACGAAGACGCTACTCCCCAGGCTGAATACGTACTGAGGAAAAATGCCAAAATTCAATTTATATGTGTAATATTCTATCAATTTATCTAATATTCAATCACTTTATACACTGTATCCTATACGCTATCCTTTTCACTACATTTATATCATGTTACGGCCAAATGCCGTTTTTGTTTTAAATTCCGAAGCGGCATAACTGATTTTAACCTTGGGGAAAAAATTTTTGAAAAAATGCTAATAAGTTACCTTGATTGTCAATAAAAATTCTTCCATCCTTATCTGCATTCGTCAGACATTCCAAGAAGTTTTCAATATTCCGAAGTGGGGACGACATTGAAACGTATTGATCATCTTCATTATGTTTTCCATCTGTGAACGAAATGAAGTCATTATAGTACAATCCAATCCTTATTCGTTGGCAGCGATCACATGCAGTTCAGTCAAATAATAGTTATCTCAAACACGGACACCTTTCTAATACGGCATATCTCTAATACGAATATGCACCTCTTTAATAGACATCTCCCTAATTTTGGTTTACAGTAGTTTTCCATCTATGATCAGACCAATTAGTCAAATGAACATTTGGTTTTGGTATGTTGATTTGGCGAAAATAGATTACGTAACTGACAACGAACGACCGTATTTCCGCATGAACCGAAGTACAGTGCATGGTACCATTGATAAATAAGAACGGATTACAGAGACGCGAAACTTTTTAGTGTGACACAACCGAGGGAAGACACTTGAACTGATGTATTTGGAACAAATATGACGTGCACAAATTTTACTGAATGAAACGTACAGCTTACCTTTGAGCAAGAGGGTGGTGTTATATCGATCAACAAAGCCATTTAGCTAAGAAAAAACATGATCATTAAAGGCACAGTTCAGCCTTTTGAATGATGGTTTTTAAGGCGTATTACAGCCCTTTAATTGAAAAAATTAACTAGGAAAATCAATTAAGCATAATTCAAGATCAGTGAACTCAATGTTTTCAATATTAAAAACGTTTTAAAATGAATTATGCTTAATTGATTTTCCTAGTTTTTTTCAATTAAAAGGGTTGAAATGCGCCTTAAAAACCATCATTCAAAAGGCTGAACTGTGCCTTTAAAATTGACAGAAAACGTCGAACAATATACGATCAATACAACTTACATGCACACAGGAAGTTTATTTATAAAATTTAATCCAGAGGCAAAATATTAATCAAAGATTTTGACTCTCACCTTCTTTGAAATCATACTACGTTCACAGTAACGTTTTATCTAGAAATACAAAGAGTGAAGCATGGTGAGCAGATAACGTGTTTCGTACAATGTGAAAACAGATTGGTTAAAATAACCAATTTGAATTGGTTGTCTCGGGTGCACTTATTTGACCATTGTCGCTTCCTTTCCTCGACACTAAAAAGGTGGGATAATAAATACGCCCACCACTTAGAAATTAATAACTAAACTAATGTACATAATTATGCAATTTTTGCATCAAGTGAA